GTTCCAGGTACACAGCAGGTGCTCCATAAATACCTGCTGAATGAGTGACTGCAGATTAAATCCTTGAGTGCCATGTCACTGTGGTTCCCAGCCCCCTCCCCGCGTCACTGGCTACCACTCACAGAACAACAATGTTGTTAATTGGTGCTACCCGGTTTTTAAAATCATATTTAAATTAATCTATTTTGTGTGCACTTGTATAGCATAGGAGTGGCATGTGTGTGCCACAGCTCACATGTGGGCCTCAGGGGTCGTCTCCTTCATGTGAATCCCTGGGATTGAACTCAGGTTGTCAGCCTTCATGGCATTGGGAGGACCCTACTAAGATGTCTTACCGGCTCTGCCACCAGGTTTTGAATACTTAAATGATGGAACCAGCCCTTGCTAAGCTTATCCTTGGTACATGTCACCTCCTTAAACGCAAACAACGAAAGAAGCAGAGAGATTCGGCTATAGTCTCTACTTTAGAAGGGAGGGAAGCACGTGACTTGACAAGGTAGTGCGTGCAGGTTTTGAGTGGAGACCCTGAATCCAGGGTTCCTGCTCTTCGAGTTACACCGATGATCCAGCTTCCCAGAGGGGAAACCAGGACCTGATTTTACAGCAGCACTGACTCACTGCAGAAGCTCTCCCAGTGTAGGACTCCATGGCACACACAGGCAGAGATGGAACAGCTGGCCTCAGTGAGCTGTTAGAGAGACCCAGAAGCTCACTGCCACCTGCCCTCCTCCCCACCTCAAGTGCTCAGACTTTGACAGCCGGAGGCAATCCTATGCCAGGTCTCCTCACACTAATTGGCTTAGGAAGCCATGCTTATCTGGGTAAAGCTGGGACCCATGAGTTCAAGATTAGGGAGAGTGGGATTCATGGCTTACTGCTTTGCTGCCCACAGGGTCAGAGGAGGCAGAGCTGGGACTTTAATTGGCTTAACAGCCCTCAATGGCTTAACAGCTCAGAGGGCTGGGGCTGGGAGGTGGATAGGGACAGCATGATGACCAACCCATGGGCAGATTCATGCCCCACCGAAGGGTCTGTTTGCTCACCTCCCAGGGACTCAGTCTGTTACCGCCTCAAGGCATTTCCCCATGATCCCCCCCCTCCCCTCCCCCTCCCCCCTACCTACCCTCTCTTCACTGCCCCAGACATCACACCAAGTGATTCCTGATGGGGATGGAGCTGGATTTGGGAACTAAACAAAGAGGCAGGCATCCTCCTTTCCTGCACTCACTCCTGTGACCTCAGTCAGGTTCCCTGACTTCTCTGGGTTTTGCTTCCTTGTCGGAGGAACCATTGTACCCATAAGCACCGAGGGAAGGTTTTAATGCAATGCCTGGAACATGCCATACAGTCCTTGCTGCAAGGTGGCAGGTGTACAGTGTCTGTGAGCTCCCTCCTTTTATGTTTAACTAATGACATCTGTGTGGAAGGACCTTGTCCAGTGTTTCCTTTGGCTGATAGCGTGCACGCTCCTGTGCCACTGCACAGGTGTAGAGGTCAGAGACCAGCTTGTTGGGGTCAGTTTCTCTTTCTAGCTTGGGGGTCTTGGAGAGTGAACTCAGGTCACCAGGCGGGCTTGGTAGCAAGCACCCTTACCCACTGAGCTCTCTCCTGGTCGACCACTCAGAACGTCTGCTGGGGCAGCTCATGCGGTAACATGCTATGCCACCACCTCTTAATTTCTGGATGGCTTCTCTCACCTTCTCTGAATGTTCCTGTTTATCCAGGCCTTTGGCAGTTTAAGAGCCCAAAGCTTGTGGGACGAGGGTCCAGAGAATTCAGTGACAACAGACTCAGAGTCAGAACTGTAGCCTGGTTAATGTGGCCTGGTGAGCTCTTCTCGTCCCCAGTAGCCATTTCTATGAGATCTCTCCTAATTGACTGCAGAGTCTGAATTTAGTGAACAGTCAAGCTGTCAGTAATTGCTTTCCAGCTCTCTGAAGACCCTAGCCTCACTCCTTCCTTTAAGTGATTTCTATTCTATGCAGGGAACAAAGTACCCGGCAGGTGACCAACTCATTTCAGAACCTCTCCAAAGGGCGGGTGTATTAGGAGGCAGAGGAGACAGAATTGTAACCTAGCCATAGAAGGTTTTTTTGGGGGGAGGACCCCAAATTGACCTTGGTGACATTAAACTGTTCTGGTCAGGAGGTGGTCATTGGCACTGTACCGAATCGTTATGGGTCATGAGAAAGATACCACATCTTAGGAGCACCACATCTAATCATGTCATTTCACACACAGGGAAACTGAGGCTCAGAAGTGGAAAGAACCTGGCCCAAGGTCACTTTCAAACCAAGATGAAAATGTAAATCCTCTGAAAGCACACCCTCCCCAGATTCAGCATCTTCCCACAGTACAAAGTTTCCTCATCGTTACCCACAGTTCAAATGCCTCCTCCCCTTTTCACATTCTTATCTCTATGCAACAGAAGTCAGAGGTTCTGTCATCGTACAATCTCACAATCTCAGACTCATAATTCTTCAGGCTTTGGGGGAACACTTTGGTGGCAGAATTGCAAGGTGGAACTTGGTTTTTAAAGACGCAGACTCTTGAATGCCAAAGCTCCCAGTTGCTCACTGTGTGACCTTGGGCAAGGGTGCCCCCTTCTCTCAGCCTCCGTTCCCTCATCCGCCAAGTGAAAATTATAATACTAACCACATGACAGAATCATTAGAAAAGACAGAGGAGAGAACGGAGGCAACCAGTGGGCTTGGCAGAAAGTGAGTGCTTAATAAAATAATTGCAATGGCATTGTAAATTAGGGTTTGAGTACCTAAGTGAATATTTAAAAGAAATGCAATCAAGAGGAAGAATTCACAAACTAGGACCATGCAAACCCTGTCTAAAATTTTTACAGGCCTGATACTACTACAACCAATTTCTTTCTTTCTTTCCCCCAGAGAGATTCTGAGTTTTAAAAATACCACACCATGGTTCCCCCATGCTCATTTGATTGTTACCCGTCCAATCATCCCATTCGAACTCTCACTTTCCCAGTGTAGAACAAGGGAAATCGTGGAGAGAGTTCTTCCATCTTCAGAACCGTGGAGTTCAGTGGACTCTCAGCCACTTCCAGCCACTCCCCCAGGATGCCCATCTATGGTCATTTCCCCCATATTTGAGGTAAGCTCTGTTCAAGAAAGAAGAGTCCTATTAGCTTTGTGTAAGTGGGTTCTGAATGGGGAGAACGAGGGTAGCCTATGCATCGTGGGGCAGCTGGCCCACTTTAGGCTGAAGGGAAAGGGGGATGAAGCTTTGGGTACCCAGAATAGGAAGTTACCATTTCAGAACCTAAAAATAACCCACCATCTGTCCACTTGGGCACAGAATGATGAATGCAGATTAGTTCCTGGATGTAGACATGAATATTTTTGTGTGTCAGGCTAATAATAATAAGAGCATGGATAGTGTTTCCCCTCCCCTGACTCCAGGGGGAGCAAAGTAGAATATGCACATCATCTTGGCAGATGAAGATAGGGAAACCAAGGCAGAGAGAGGATCAACAACATTGCAAGGGTGACGCATGGCCAGTGAGCAGCTGGGTCAAACACTAGGGGTCCAGTTTCCAACGCTCTGTCCAACTGTAGCTTCTGAGTTAGGCAGAATACACTAAAAAGTAACAGAGTAAATAACTATCCTCTATATCTGTAGAGGGTCTTCCCCCATACTCTCCACACATCTGTTATGATAATCCCCTTTGTCCCCCAAATACATCCTAATCTGCAGAATTCTCACACAGACTTCCTCTTGTCTAGTTATCCCAACAGGTTAAAAAACTGTAACAATAAATCAGTGATGGGAAGGGTAGAGAGTGTGTGACAGGAAGTGTAGACAGTAAGTCAGTGATGGGAAGGGTAGAGAGTAAGTGAGTGTGACAGGAAGTGTAGACAGTAAGTCAGTGATGGGAAGGGTAGAGTGTATGTCAGGAAGTGTGGAGAGTAAGCCAGTGAAAAAGGAAGTGTAGACAGTAAGTCAGTGATGGGAAGGGTAAACAGTCAGGAAGTGTGGAGAGTAAATCATTGATGGGAAGTGTAGACAGTAAGTCAGTGTGACAGGAAGTTTAGAGAGTAAGTCTGTGTGACAGGAAGTGTAGAGATTCCCTCTCACTTCACAGGTGAGGAAACAGAACTGGGGGAGGAGGAGGATGTGTGCTCTAAGTTCACGTAGTAAGCAAATTCATTTTGTCACTGCAGGCACAGTCCAAGGAACTGGAGTGATTCTGATTCAAGAGGAGCTGTGGTTTAGAATTTCCCCTCTCTCCAATTAACACAACCCAGCAGGCACCCTACTTGTTGGCAAAGGAAGAAGCCTGGAAATGAACAGTTTGAATGAAGCCCCAGTGTTGTTTTCCGGTCTGAGGACTAAGGGGCAGACAGTAGCTATCTAACGTCAGGGTCAAGATTTCAAATCTCCTTGGCCCCTTTTGTTGGGGGTTGGGGGTTGAGAGTAGGGCTCTGTGGAGCTCCTTAGGAAATAGGAGCCAGAGTGATGGTCTGGATTCACCACGCCCTTTCTCAACAAAACCAGGAAGTTTAGACGGGATAGTCATTTAGCTGCCTCACATTCTGCCTCTCCTAGGATGTTGGGGGTGAGCTGCAATTCTGAACTGAGTGTCTCTGAGAGCTGTGAAAGACTTCTGAATGTTTCCCCAAGTCTAGGCTTAGTACCTGGACATGGAGGAAGGGTCAAGACTGAAAGGATCCCTGTGTCCCTGTTCCAAGCATAACACTTGTCCCCATGCTCCCCAACTTCTCCTTGCTCACATGTCACTACAGATCTCTGGCCCCTTCTTGCCCCATTAGCCAGATCAAAGCTATGGATCTGGGGTCCAACAGAGTTTGGCAGAGGTGAGGAGCTGACTGAGAAGAAATCAGAGCTGCAATGGAGTTGGTGAGGGTGAGGGTCAGGACAGAAGCAGGGTGGGCTAGAAAGGCCAGAGCAGATCTGGGGCGGCAACCCACTCCCAGGACTCAAGCTTCCTTCACCTGCTCTTTTCCTACCTCCAGACCTGGCCGAGCTGCAGGAGGTGAACGAGGGTCTGCAGTAGCCAGACGCAGAGGCGGCAGCAGCGACGACGGTAGGCGCTGGCCGAGGACGGCGCTGGCCGGGGGACCAGCTCCGGGCTGCTTTCTTTGGTCCTGAAGGCGACAGCACTGTCCTTGGTGCTGATGGCGGCTCCGCCGATGTCGCTGTCCTTGGTGCTGACGGCGGGTCCTGGGGTCCCCGCGGGCTCCGAGTAGTCATAGACGAACCAGCGGAAGCTGAGCAACTGCACAACCAGGGAGGGCAGCAGCACGAAGAGCAAGGTGAGGCCGAAGTAGGTGCTCTGACCCTGCAGGTAATAGGAGGCCGCCAGCCACAGGTCGGTGGCGCCGTCGGAGAAGAACACGAGCAGCGCGCACAGCACCCAGCAGCAATCCCGCAGCTCGTAGCGCGGCCCCGGGCCTCCCGCCGACGCCGGTCCCGGGCCCGCGATCTCCGCCGTCACCTCCCCGCGCCCTCCTGCCCCGCCCCGGGCTGCTCCCGCCGGCCCCTCGGGCCCCGGGCCGGCCGCGGCCGCCGCTCCATCCGACTTCGCGGCCATGTTGGCGGAGCAGGAGGCGGGGAGCGACTTCCGGGCGGCGGAGCGGGTGGGGTGCGGAGTGGGGAGGACCCTGCGCGGGCGGCTCCCGCCTCCCGCTCTTCCTCCGCCGCTCCTCTTCCTCCTCCCCTCTACCTCAATTATTCATCCTTGCCGGCGCCGCCCCACCCGGTCTCCGGCCTGGATGTGGGCCGCCCCCTGGGAAGGGAGGGGGCCGGGGCGGGGAGAGCATCCCGGGTCACCCTTGCATGGCTTCCTTGGAGGCATGGGGCCCAACCACATGCTTTCTGCCTCTGGCCTCCCCCTGGACGCTATTTCTCTTTGATTGTCCCCGCCCTATCTTCTCCTTTTCCATTGATCTTCTGCGGTACCGGTGATTTGGGTCTTGCAATGCCTCACAAGGATGAAAGGCCAGGGTCTACTGGGGTGGGGGGGGCAGGAGTGGGAGCAGCTGTTTGGGTACCTTCCGTAACCCTCAGCACTCCATTCAGAAGCCACTTCTTAGTTCCCCCGTGTTCACTTATTGTTTCATCCCCTCCTTTGATCTTGAGAGGTCTCTTGTTTTCATTGTCTTTTTTTTTCAGGCGAGAAACTGCAGTTCTGAGTTGCGGTCTCTGCTCACTCTTCCTTCTTTCAGGAACCGCGTCCATCTGGCCACTAGCCCGGTTAGGGAAGGCAGAGAGCAGGGATGAGAGGGAACTATCCGCCTCCCCCACACCCCCAGGAAAGAGCAAGTGCAAACTCCTACCCCCACCACCACTGGAGTCCACACTTTCTAGGACGTCCGGATGAGGGTGGGGGTGCAGAAAGATAGAACTAGTGATTACTGATGGATAGGACCCTGAAAGGTCAGAAGGTGGCAATTGGACACCCACCGCAGAATGTCAGCTGAGGAGTTATGCGGCTAGCTCAGGACTTAGCAAGAAGAGTCGGCAGCCAAAGTGGAGCACGGATCACAAAGCAGGAACCTGGGACCGGAGAGACCCGAGAGACATGAGCATGGTCTATGGAAGGAGGTGGGGTCCCTCAGGGCCTGGGTACTCCCATGCCACCACTCACCTTGACTTGGGTCAGATGTCCTAGGACATTGTTTATCAAACACTGGAACTTTTTCTTTGTCATTACATTAAGCAATGTGGAATTACTAATCGTTTTAGTCTCACAATGTATGTGGTTTATATATTCATCCACCCATTTTATAGATGAGGAAACAGTCAGAGAATTTCACTCATTGCCTTAGAATTACATAGTAAGTGCTAGAAATGAATTCATATGTGGCTTTGAAAAGCTCAAGGGCATGAAGAAGGGGGAGGGGGAGGTAGTGAGGTGGAAAGACCACCCTGCTTCAGAGTGACAGGGAAGAGAGAGGAGACAGCTGCCCTGGGCTGGGTGGAGCAGCCATCTGCTGCCCTGCAGCCTGGCTTCCCTTTCGTGTCCAGGGACTGTTTTGGTCTCAGCGATGCTTGGGAGGTTGGGGTACCAGCTGTTGCCTAAAGCTAAAAGCAGAGGGGAAGTGTTAGGGGCTAAGGGAGTTTTCAAGGCTGGATTCCAAGTCAGCAGCCCATGTTTAGACTGACAGGCGGCTGGAAGGTCTGAATTAGGAGGCTCCATCCCTGCCTGTTTGTCCCCTACAACTCCAGACCTAGAAACCAGTTGAACACACAGAACCTTAAGTGGAGTCAGCAGAGTGAGTCCGGCCCTAGCCACCCTCTTGTCAGTTCTTAGCGGTCTGTATCACCACCATCACAGGTGCTTGGATGTGCCTGGCAAAGATAGGATCCCTCCTTTGGGCCCAGCTAAATGGAAGCCTCCATATAGACCATAACTGACTTAATCAAACCAGCAGCAGCAGAAGTCAGGTTTGGGCTCTGATACTCTGATGCCAGAAAATCTGTGTTCAAGACCTACAGTCCCTTCAGGAGTCCATGGTTTTCAGTTTTTCTTTGCTTCATAGAATAACAAAACAGAGGCTATCACATATGGTTTCCTGCTAAGACTTTGGTGAGGATGGGAAATTTTAATAGGGATGATGCTTCCCACAGAAGCCCTGCTCAGCATCCAGTGGTGGCCTGCTCTCTGTCCCTCAGAGATGTCTCCCCGGTATTTTGGTTATGAATGCCACAGCACCCTGGTGGTTTCCTTCTCCTCACTGACACACCAGCAGTTTATCTTTTTATGTTGTCTGTTTAGAGTTGTCTGGGATCTTCCCGAGGCTTTGGGAAATTCACTCATTTTTCTTCAAACTGAGACTTCTGTGTACTGGACTTCTAGTGTCCAGCTCTGGGTCTGGTACTCAGTAGGTATCTGATGAATATATGAAGATAGCCTTCTTTACGCAATACAATAAAATTTTAAAAGAGAGGAAAAATAATCATCCAATGAAACCCAGGCATTGTGAAAAGCACCTGTAATTCTGGCAATTGGGATAAAGGGTAGGGGCTAAGACAAGAGAATTGTGAATCAAAGCCTGGCTTCATAGTGAATACCAGACCAGTCTGAGCTATATAACAAGACTCTGTATCAAAAAAAGAAAGAAAAGAACAACTATAAAAATCCTCCAGAACATCTGACAACTTATTGAACAAGTAAGTGATGAACCTGGTGACACAAGGGGCCTTTTTCTCCCCAGTTTATAAAGGTGGCAGAGGTGATGGCTTCTGAACTTCTTAGTGTAGGATTAGAGGCTCTAAGATGTTTACAATGTTACTAGTTGTTAACTACAAACTAGCAACTTTTGGGGGTAGAACTTGAGCTACGGAGAAACGCTGCCTCAAAGCCGTTTTTTTAGGAAGTAAGAGCACTGGCACTCAGGAGCCCTGTGCACAGTTTGAGTGACTGGACAAGGTGAAATGGCATGAAGGAAGGACTTGATGAAAGACTTGGCATGGGCCAAGTGTAGGGTAATCTAACCATCAAGGATACTGTAGAGGGGCCTCTGTCTCACCTGGAGATTTATATTGCTGTGTTCTGATTGCACTTGAGCTCAAGTATCAGGAGTGGAGCCAAGGGACAAGGGGACTATGTTTCAGAGGTATCTGGGTGAGGCTGGAGACAGCTTGGACAAAGATTCTATAGCTGGGTTGAGCCAGGTACAATCAAGAGTCTAGTCTGGCTGTCGTGGAGGGAGGTGGACTGGTCAGAGCTAGACAGGCCCTTTGAGATCTCCATTTCCCCAAGCCTCTCCTCTCACTTCACAGATGGAGACTATGGGGCCCAGCGAGACAACCTAAGTTATCCAGTGGCAAAGGTAAATCTGGAGCCTTGCCCTAGCTCCTGGAGACATGATGGTCTCTGAGCTATGTGAGGAATCACTCTTAGGAATCATCTTTGTCACCTTTTGCTACTTGGCCTCAGGGTGTTACTGAATGAGGGTTCCACCCCATCTACTGCACCCTCTGCTTGGGCAATTCCTGTTGGTTTTCCTTTAGTTCCTACTTAAATATTTGCATGTGTACAAACTATGCCTGGGATAATTGATACTACATTGTTTGTAGATGCAAGTACTGGGTATGACCCAAATGCTTGCCATGAGTCTGGCTAAATAAACCATGGGACTTGTGACAATGGAGTGGCCTGGAGCAGTGAATGGTCTGTCTAACTATGGAGAAGTCCTCTTGGAGGAAAAACAAAGACAGAAGAGAGGTGTATCTGTGTGCAAATGGGAAATGACAGCCTTTGCTTTTATACGTTTAAATAAGCATAAAGAAACCCTGGGGCTGGTGTGATGGCTCAGGAGGCAACAGCCAGCCTGAAGGACCTGAGCTCAGTTCCCAGAATCCACATGGTGGAAGGAGGGAAATGACTCCTACAAGTTGTCCTCTGACCTCCACATGAGTCACGGCACATGCACCCCCTCCTCCACGTGAATGCAAAATAAATAAGTAAAACTGTAATAAAGTTTTGTTTCAAAAAAAAGGAACTTTGGGATTACATAATAAAGGATTGCTTTAAGAGGCCAGTGGGAATTGGAGATAAGGATGGGAGGGAAAATGCATTGTCTCTGTGTATATTTTTGCAGTCACATGAATGCATTTGCTTGTTAATGAAATAAAATTACAATGGGGATAGCTGCTATATAAGTCTGGCCGGATGTTATATTGCAGAAAAAAGCTGTCAGTGTGGTCAGGTTTTCTAATTATTCAAGAGAAGACAGAAACCTCAATTTCACTGTAAAATTACCTGAATTTTAGACATCAGCTCCAGGTTTCTCCAAACACTTCTCTGATTGGTAAATAAGACAGTGGAGCAGCTGTGGCCTGATCTTTGGCTTCAGCCCCGATGACTTTCTGACCTAGAGCTCTCAGCACTCCAGGTTTTCCTCCTTATGTGGGCAGCTGCAGGCTGAAAAGTGACTCCTTCTGCCTCTCTCTCGACACCCTTCAATCCCTGCCCCTTGGGGCTGTGACGCTGAGGGCTTTTAACTCAAGATCTAGAAGGCAGAGAGAGGCTGTGAACTCTCAGATAATTCCCTCTCCTGGGATGCTGGCGGCATCAAAGCCCACTGGCCTCCTGCTGTACACCCATCTGTCCCTTGGAGGTGGGGACAGGAGTGAAGCTGGCAGCGAGGGGATGGAATGGGCTTCCCAGTAATGCTGACACCACAGGGCTCTGGCCAATTGTGTGAGGACCAGATCCAAAAGGGGAAACCTGGGAGCCTGTCGGAAAAGAAGAGCCAGTCATACACACTTGGTGAGTATTGTGGTAATTTACCAAATTCCAAATGCTGAGGTTACCAAATCCCAGCCCCAGGACAGCCTTTACAGACCATCTTGTTCCACCCCCTTTGATAGACAGGGAGGCAGACTGCTCCCAGCCCCACTTCCCACTCAAGACCCAGCATTCTCCCTGAGCTCTCTGTAGACCCCCTGTCTCTTCCCGAAGTTCAGAATCTACCCTTACTCAGAGAAAGCTCTTAACAGGGAAATGCAATCAGGCCTCGTGTCCACTGAGTACTCTCTGACTCTTCCCTACCTCAGCTCAGCCTTGCAAATGTCTCTGTCCTGCCTATTTCTCCTCTCCATAATCAGCTTCATCTCTTCCCACCTTCCTTTCACCCACCCTGTTCCGGCTGCACAAGCTACTTGCTGTTCCTTTTATTTCATTTAAATTGCTTTTTATTTGATGCTGAAAATTGAACACAGGGCCTTGAGCATGCTAGGTGGGTTATGAACCCCTGAGCCGCTCCACAGACTTCCTGGTTCTTAACAAGCTTATTTTCTCCCTTTTGGGGGATTTTGTTTCTGCTCTTCTCCCAGGGTACAAGCCTTTGCCTTTTCTCTAAGATATGGCCTGTTCAGGGGAGTTTCCCTGTCCTCAGCAATAGCCTGT